CACACGCGCACGCACACGCACGCACGCACACACACACACACGCACACACACTCACAGACCTGCTGCAGATCTTCACTCAGCACTTCTGTCTTCTCTGCCCTGTAGAGACACAGTGATCATTGGTTAGCGTGTGAGACACTGATCATGCTGGGACTCAACACGTGTGTGAGGAACGTTCCCCTCCAGCAGCCGGCAAACCAAAATATTTACACACAGAGAATCAGATACACAACCACGATAAATATAACTACAGCTGAAATCAGTCTAGTTCAGCTCAGGTCAAGTTATACATTTTGGGTTAATAACAAGCTCTTTGGTTACACACACACACACACACACACACACACACACACACAGATATAAAACACAGTGTGTCTGACACAGAAAACACTCATGGCCTCACGAGAATCAGCATCTAATGAATGGAGCCACAGAAATCAATCAGTAAAATCTTCTTACTCAGGAGGAGCTTTCCTCTTACGTCTGGTGGAGATCTGCAGCTTTCTCTTCCACAGAGCCATGATGAGAATAGACAGACAGTCGAGAGGACGGAGGAGACCGACAGGTCAGGAATGAGACCAGACCGACAGGAACGACAGCACACACACACACACACACATGCGCGCAACACACACTGATCTTCACTCAGATACTCACACCAACACACACCTTCAGACATAAGATCTTTAATGCTTCTGAAAGAAGTCTCTTCTGCTCACAAAAGCTGCATTTATTTGATCAAAAATACAGTAAAAATTATGAAATATTTTTACAATGTAAAACAGCTGTTTTCTATGTGAATATCTGTTAAACTGTAATTTATTTCTGTGATGAGCAGCTGTATATTCAGCATCATTACTCCAGTCTTCAGTGTCACATGATCTTCAGAAATCATTCTAATATGCTGATTTGCTGCTCAAGAAACATTTATTATTATTATCAGTGTTGAAAATGAATGAACAAATAAAGTGAAGAACAGCAATTAAAAATATAAAAATACAGTAAGTAGCTCATACTGACAATCAGAGGAGAATCATGAAATTCTACAGGACCTGAGTGAGAGCAGCTAGTGATGTAAGACCAAGAATAACAAAAATTATTATATGTACATATTTTATGTTTAAACTGCCACAATCAGTATTTTGTAACAACATACACTACTGTTTAAAAGTTTGAGCTCAGTAAATTTCTTTCTTTCTTTCTTTTTAAAGAAATTAATACTTTTATTCAGCAAGGATGTGTTATACTGATAAAAATGATAGTAAAGACTTATATTGTTGGAAAAGATTTCTATTTTAAATAAATGGTGTTCTTTTGAACTTTCTGTTCATCTGTGAGTTCCAAAAAAATATGAAGCAGCAAAACTGTTTCCAACAGTAATAATAAATCAGCATATTAGAATGATTTCTGAAGATCATGTGACACTGAAGACTGGAGTAATGATGCTGAAAATTCAGCTGCGCATCACAGGAATAAATTATATTTTAGAGTATATTTAAATAGAAAAACATTGTGCAAATAAATGCAGCCTTGATGAGCATAAGAGACACTTTAAAAAATATTAAAATTCTTACTGATACCAAACTTGTACATATGGCACTGTACATATATGTTTAAATCAATTCCAACAATCAGTACCTAAAATCTAATAGAAATCTGTCCTTTAATATCTAAAAACTGATTAAATAAAATGTGCAAAGACGAATCATCCAGGCGGTTTGACTTGTTAAGTGTTTTTAATCTGTTTTGGTCTTCACCTCAACTAGTCTGACAATCCAGAGAGTGTGTTCACACACACACACACACACACAAACACACACACACACACACACACACGCGCGCACACACACGCACACACACACACGCACAAACACACACACACACACTCAGACACACAAACACACACACACACACACACACACACACTTATCTATCTTAACGGGACGCATCATAGACCTGTGTTGTTTTTCTGATTGTGGAGGTTCTTGAATGTCACTGACAGCAGGCGAGACGAAACCAGATGCTCGTTTTTGTAAAAATTACAAGATGCATACGTGTGTGTACATATACACATAATGCTAGTCTATCACATGACTAGTACACACACATCCTGCAGTATCAGCACACTACAGTCATGTGTGTGTGTGTGTGTGTGTGTGTGTGTGTGTGTGTGTGTGTGCTGTATTTAAAGTGTGTCAGGAGGATCCTTTAACCCGTTTGATACAAAACAAACAACTGTGTGTTCACTTCAGCGACCGGAAAGACGGGTTCCTCAGACACACAATATAGAACACACACCAGATTAATCACACAAAAGACTGCAGAAACACACACACA